CATTAGTAAATTTAATTCATTGCACTTAAAGTCTTAGCAAATCTTCATTATAAAAGACTAAGTAACAATTGGTATTGATTAAAAAGAAAAAAGTTGAACTATTTGGAAGAATATTTTTTCTTTTTTGAACATTGATAATAATGTCCATAATGATTTAAATCCCAAATCATACCTCGCTTTGTACTTCATAAAAAAAACCAACTGCAAAGAATTTCGAAGAGTTTAGAAAGAAAAAGTTATAACAGATTTTGAATTAAAAGATGAGAAAGATTCTACCTATAGATAAGGTATAATTTTCACTGAATAGAATAAAAATAAAGCATACAATTTCAGAGAGAAAAAAAGAATTAAAAAAATAAATAGTAAATATTTAAGTTATCTTCAAAAATATGAAAATAATTATCTATTAAAATTGGCCTTTGAGAAGAGAAACTCCTTAAACCTACATTAAGAGTTGAGGTCACAAGTGAGTTGCAGTCACCAAGATGGTCGCTACTTTTTTTACGTATCCAGGGCTTTAACTGTGCCCATCACAGTTTTCTTGACCTTTGGCTCTGAGGCACAGGGCAGTAGGGTTGGTCAGTCGAACACGGAACCCCCAGTGTTTAGTCCCCAAGCATATTTGGTTTTAATTTTATTGACCTACGGAAAGGATGAAAGGAAGTGCCTACCTTTTTTAGTCAGAGGATAGAATCAAGGACGTGTGACAAGGGAGCTGATGTTTTACTTGTTCATCCAACTAAACTTTCATTTGATTAAACTTTTGATTTTTTTTTAAGGATACGTTTGAAACCTTTAAGGCTATATCCCACATAACCTGCACTACAACGTCACTGCATAACCTACATTAAGGCTACACTATAACCACATAATTCGTATTAAATAAATAACAAAGAATAATATTCAAAAAATTGTATTCGTCGAAGTATAAAAACAAATTCACCATTTTTTTTTTAAACAATTTGATGTGATTATGCAATTTTTCATCTTCCTACTGTTTTTATTGCGATTTCTTATAATTAGATTTTACCTCACTATTACGACATTTTCACTGTATTCTGCAAGAACATAAAAAAAATTGTTAAATAAGAGGGGTGCCAGATTGTAAACTTTTACTAAATGCAGTTTTAAGAAAAATGTGCTTAAGTTCCGTGAAATAGTTCTTTTTTTATAGAATGAGGTTAAATTATTTCTTACATTCTAACAACATAAAATCTAAAAAAAACTTCTCATATTGGTTTCCTAAAATTCCATCTGCCATCAGCAAGACAACCACAAAAAAATAGTCGAGCAATATCGCATTAAACGATGTCTGTCATGAACAGAGCTAAAATAATAAAAATGAGCTATAAGCTGAAGGTGTTATTGGCAGGAAAGACAAATAGTTAAAAAGCCGCTGCCTCGACAAAACGATAGAGGGGAAAAGAAATGGCGGGCAGTGAATAAAAGAATATGTCATTTCGATTGCGAAGGAAAGGAATTTTTCATCCAATACAGAACTTCTCATCGTGATTGCCAAAGACAGTTAAGTAATTCAGCAAAACTTGATTTAGAAAGCCGTCAAAAAATTTTGATTTAAAAAAAAAAAATAGAGGAAGGGGGACAGAACAGGGTATAAGATTGGAAAATGTTATTAAAAATCCGTAATCGGAAAAAAGTTCAGTTTGATTTCTTCCGTTAAATTCATCGTTGAATTATGTATAACTCGATATTTGATTCGCTGGTGCTTTCATGTCTTGTTTCAAATAATTTTTCAGAAGATGAGAATATAAAGTCTTTTTCCTTCTTTATTCTTAAACAGTTAACCAAGTTACTGTAGTATTTTTTTAAAAAATTAACTATTAGCCCTTTTTATAGAACATAAATACGTACGCAGAGTGTTCCATAATAGCCTATCTTAATGTGCATATCTTTAGACACCTATGCTAAAGATAAGGAACAAAAAGATTAAAATTTAAGGGATTAAAATTAAATCTGACGAATCAGTAGTGAGAAAAGCGGAATTATAGACAAAAATAATTCGAAGGTTTTTGTGAAAATCCCCTTTTAGTCATTTTTTAAATTACTCAGGCGAACGCATACAGGCTTTGATGCGTTCAGTTAGGAATTCGTTAAATTTTGATAACGTTTTCACGTAAATGACGCATAATATGCGTGCTTCTATTTGTTTAGTATTTGACAAGGAACCAAAGAATATATATTTAGGGTGGTCATAACATAACACCTTGAATAAAAGAGCTACATTCCCTTGAGTGTCTTATACGTGTATTCTTTTCTAAGCAAAAAAAGCATAGTGATTCTTTTTTTTTATCCTTGTTTTAATTACTTATTTTATTAAAAAAAACATGCTCGAATGGTGTTTTTCTTAAATTTCGATTAATTTCTTTATGATATAGTTGAGTAGAAATTTCCATTTAAAAAAAAAAAAAAAAATCAAGCCTTTTTTTGTTTTTAAAGCTTTTTTCATCATAATTTTTCGGACCACATATAACAACTGTTTTGTTATTTTCTGGCTAAAACAGGTAATTATTATAAATATTTTTAATGAACAACAACAGTGATTATTAAGCAGCTCTTCATTGTTATTTTCTGAAGACAGAAAAAAAAAAACCAAGATATGTTCCACATAATTTTCCATCAAACAGCAATTATATCAAAATTTTCATTGTTACTTTCTAAGCAATAGTGTCAAATGTACCCAAATTGTTTATTTATCTGCTACTTTCGAACCAAGAGCAGAAACAGTATGGAAACTATATTCATTTATCTTCTTCTTACTAACAACTTGAATTGTTCTTCGTATTTCCTGACTGGCGGCTGATAACTGTTAATGTTCTCAAGATGTTCATGATTCTTCAATTACAGAAACTGATCATATCATTTTTCAATTCAGTTTTATTTATTTATTTACTATTTAATTTTTTTTTTTGTTGCCAAACCGAAGCAACTATTTCTCGCTGTTTTCGATCTAATATCAGAAATTATTCTTCATTTTTTTAAACAATGGAGAATATTGTTTTAAGCTATTTTCTGCGTAATATGCCAACTTTTCTCCTACATGAATTTCTTGTCGTTTAACCAGAAAGCTCCAAAAAATAAAAAAAAAGAACTTATCGAATCATTTTTGGACTTCAAATCTGAAAAGTGAACGATATTTTATAGTTTGTACAGCTCTTCAAACATTTTTAAAACCAGTTGCCAAGTAAGCGAAAAGTTGCCCAATCGTGCAGCCCGATTATTCTTTAAATTGTAGGGTTGTGTGTCCTATCATTTATCCATAATTTATGACAAGGCAATTGTAGGTCTAGGGAAGGTTAAGCGATCACCTCCTAGATTGCATTTATTGTTTTCACTCAAACCCCAACGTTACAGCCATCGCCTTTTTCTTTCCTTTTAAAAATATTTTCATTTTTGTGGAGAAAAAAAAATCTCAGTACTTTTTTTGTGTAATTTAAGCATATATTATAGTTAATCTTTAGAAGAAATATCGTATTTAGCATACTGGTATGTTACATGTTCCTATTAAATATGAAATGAAAATATATTAAACAAATTCTGCTTTAATAATATTCATTTGAAATTTATTTTAAATAAAAAAAAATATTTTATTTGAATGTAAAATAACATAAAGCAATATTATATCGTACTTTTTCCATTACTTAATCTTCAAGTAACTTTTATTTATGGATACGTTAAAAAAAATGTGGAAGACAAGTTTTTCACTTTTAACTTCGATTTAACACGACTGTTAAAAATAAAAAAAATTATTGGCTTGGAAATATCACAAATTTCTAGAACGCAAGTATATGACTGAACTTCAAAAATTTTTTTGATTTTGTGTGAAAAAAAAAAAAAGGATAACGGTTTCTTTTTAAAAAACAAACAACACTCATACTTTACTTTAAAACAAATAAAATACTAATACATAACTGACACGTTGCCTTTATTAATACAGGTGGTTGTTTATGCGAGGATTTTATTTAAAGTTTTTAACAATTAAAAGATTCTTTTTTAGTGAATTCTCCATTTTAAAAACCTTTCAAGCAGATACGCCTCTCAAGAATCACCCTTTGCTTTTCGACCCTTATTTAAAGTTATTTAATTTGGTGAGTTCCACCATTTCTTGAAGTTTAGTCTACTTGTTAAACTTTGTATATTCTATATGCACCCTCTTCTAACTATTATAAACTGACGAAGTCTTAAAATTCGGTTAAGCCTTTAATCACTTTCACATAATTTAATCACTTTCACATATTATTTTATAACTGGCGTTGAAGAGCCGACCCGATTTCTGAGTTTACGACTATATTCAACACAGCAGTCTTGTACTTAAAAACCCAGTCCAGAACACAACGGAACCCTTGGACCAAGCATTGGGACTAATTGGCCTTCGTGGAGAACTTTTAAATGGGACCAACCAGCATATGCGTTATATGGAGAGGAGAACCATGAAACCCTCTCACTGTTAGCCAGATGGCAAAGGGATTCTAACCCATGATCCGTCAGCACGATACGTCAGCACGATTTTACGTCAGCACGATACGTCAGCACGATTTTACGTCAGCACGATAGTCAGTGCAAGCCGGGAACAGAATTTGCATCAACGAGCCACTGCTGGGATTCGAACCTGGTCACCTCAATGGGAGACAAATGCTCTATCCCCTGAGCCACCGCGGCTCTGTTTCAAATAATATATAAATGCTGTTCATGGTCCATGTCCGGCCTGTGTAGGGGTCAGGGAACTGACCTTGCAACGGAAAGGTACTGGGTTCGAATCTCGGAAAAGGTATGGATGTTCTTTCATTTTATGTACTATCTGTCCTTACTATGGGAGCAACGTTGGCCCACCTAATATGGTGTCCCTGAAAGAGTGGCCAACAAATCTGCCCTGTAAAATTCCTGAATTGACGAAATGTTGGTGAACACAGGTGGGCATTGGAAAAAAAATAATAAAAATGCTGTCCATTCCTTAATTTTAAAGTCAACGATGATAGACTTACCTGATCTGGTGTAGAGCCACTATCAGTACTATGTCCGCCGGAAGTATCCAGCATACCCCTGGAGACACAGGGAGGACCACCACAGAAACTGCTACCGTTGCTGTTGTTATTGGTGTCCCCTAACTCAGGTTTAGTATCTCTCTCTTCGATAACCAAATCAATGGGCATCTTACCCTTTAGGCAGCTGATGTAACGCTGACAAAAGTTATCACAGAGCTCATGAACCTAAATAAATAATTTAAGAAATCATTCTTATGTTCTACTTGATACAAATCTAAGAGAATACACAGATTTTCGAATTGATCATAAAATTATGATGACCAAACCATAAGATTTATATCGAAATTTTTTAAAAGTATAGAAGTCTCACGAGAGATAAAAATCGTTTGCAATTTAAACAGTTTTTCAATGTAAGGTTATCGTTATAAATCGTTTTACCTTCCATTTATTTCTTCTTATTTTGTCTCATATTCCATATTGCTAAATTAAAAAATGTTTTAATCGTTCATTTTCATAACAATTAACATTTTACCAATATATTCTCACATAAAATTTCAATAATTATTTAGTTTAATAACAAAATGATCCATTTTTTAAAATAGAATTTTAAGGAAAAAAAAGCAAAGGTGAACGAACAGCCATTACGGGGGTTGGCAACAGCAGCGAACATGAGTCGGAGCCACCTAACTAACAATAAAAGAAAAAAATAAGTGTCTTTCTTAATGACTTATTCAATTATTGAAAAAAGAGCCGTGCTAGCTCAAGGGATAGAGCATTCACCTCCCAATGCGGTGAATCGGCTTCGTATCCCAACAATGGCTGGTCGATACGAATTCCGCACCCGGATTGGACCGACCATAGAGCAGGGGTAAAATATCCTCAGTGCTAAACAGATCATTGATTAATGTTCCCTTGCCGTCAGGCTAACAGTGGGAGATTTTCGTGGTTCTTTCCTTTCCATGTAACACAAATGAAGGTTGCTTCCATCAAAAAGTCCCCCAAGAGGGCAAAATTCCTGGAGTTCCTTGTCTTCTAGATTGGGTTCAAAATTACAAGGCTACTGAGTTTAGCATTAGTAATCGGAAGCCCAAAATTGGGTCGGTTGTTCAATGACGGTTATAGTATAAAATAAATTTATTGAGAAAAGACTTATCTATTTACGACTGACACATGAAAGTCAGCCAGTGTCACGTGTGAGTTCTGTCAGTATTGAGAATTTCTACTTTTATTTAAATTTTATCAGCATAAAAATTTAATTTTAGTACGAAGAGTACTTTTACAATAATTAATTTAATCCTTAAGTGTTCCAAGAACATCTGATCTACGCAAATATATTTGAGTATTTCGATTGTTTCATTCTACGTCTTAATGCTTCATTTGTTACAACTGCTGTACTTTTATGTTGTTGTCGTCTTAACAATTCGAAATTCCTTCGTCGAGGAAGGAAAAAAAAATAGGTAAACAACAACTCCTGAGATATTTTCCTACTCAGATGTTCGCTAGAAAGGTGCAGAAGAGAAAATTATTTGAGCAGTGAATTATTTTTTAAAAAATTGGCAAAATCAACTCAACTACAACCTTGAAAAACATGAATTTCATTTAGAAGTAATAAATATATCCTAGTTTTAAATAATATACATTATTGAAATAAAAAAAAAATTCCATTTCCCACAGCTACAAGGAAGAAAGCAGACGACTTTTTGTAATAGTACCATGGAAAACCACCACCGAATTCGTTACGGAAAAAATAATTCCACATATTTCTTCTTCCAGAAAGAAAAAAAGAAAGAGGAGAAGAGAAAAACTGGTATTTACTGCTCCTGACATATTTTCATACCCAGGTGTTTGATAAAAAGGTGTAGAAGGGAAATTAAAAAGCAAGAAAAAGCAGAGGGGGGAAGAGAGATATGAGATCTATTCTTCCTTGGCTCACAACGCCTATCTGGAAACTAGGCACAGAAGGGAACTCGTTGACGCAGTGAGTCCGTTTATTTGAAAACCGGGGTCATCCAGCAATAGGCCTACCTTGATAATAGGTTGACGGGCCTTCTTCAGCCGACGGGGAGTGAAGAGAGATCCAATGCCAAGATTTAGCAATGATTACCCGTATTTCGAATGTCAATCAAAAGAGGCCATCCCACGTCAACATGGAAAAGCCCGGGGCTGTAATTAGGCCCGTTCCAGCTTTGTCGTTGTCACACTGGCCACGGTACCCCCTTATTATCTTACGCGACGACTTCAGTTTGAATTGTTTGTGTTTTACTTGTGCCGGGAGAACTTTTCTTTTTGGAAATCAGATATAGTTTAGTTGATGCATGTAAATTGAACGATCGGCTTCTTAGAGAATTACTATTTAGAACTTTGGAATATTCTAGATTCTTTTCCCCACACGTTTCTTTTATTTGCATAATTTTAATGACACCAATATTCTTTTTTTTGTTACGCTTTCTCTAAATATATAAAAATGAAACTCTTCCTATGTCTATATGGTACTCGCAATACAGCGGCTTTCAAAAAGTGTTTAGCGGAACCCTAGGTGGTTCCGGATTCCAAAAGGAGTTCCAAGGAACCTTTGGATGTCCAGTTCTCATTAATTTACATTTATTATGTGTCTGAGTACTCACATTTAAGACTTAGCGGTTATGTCCTAACTGCTTGGCCTCAATATTAAGAAAATAATGTTTTTTAGCAGCAGAAATTTCTTCGTCTTTATTTAAAAAGTTAGTAAAAATATAGATAATTATTGATTTAATGTGTCATATTGTAAAAAGATCGATTTTAAAGTAAAAAGTACATATTTGCTCGCTTGTGCTGCCTTTTAGTTTTTAACTGCAGCATTAAGTTAAATTATTTGTATTTATTTTTTGCTTTAAAATCTATTGTTACAATATTAAATAATTTGGGTATTCTTCAAGATGTAGAAACTTTTATAGAAATAAAAGTTCGTTTCCGATGCATTTTGCAGTAGCATGCGCACATCACTTCTGCGCATCTTAACTCAAAAGTATAGGAATTCGCCACCTGTATGCCTCAGTCTTTCCACTTGCTTGTGTGTGAGGGAGTAGAGGTGCTATCTTTTTTTGGTTTTTTAATAAGATTTGAACTACCAGATACTTTAAATGCTACTCATTCAAAAATGCAGACCAACTGGTTGCTTTAATGAACATATAACATCGGGAAAAAAAGCACCGGAAAAACTTGCATCTTATTAACTATTATATTAATGTTACATTCGATTCGATTTGGGAAATTGAACCCAAATGAAATTGAATTAAATGATAATTCGATCGTAATCAGATATTTTTTTAAAAAAAAATAATTACAATACAAAGTTCAACACTGAACAGAACTTTTCACTCTCGAGGCTCTTCCAACAGTTTAAAAAAGAAAAAAAAAACTGAGGCAAAAAAAAAAGTTCTTTCTAAAAGTTTACAAAACAAAAACAAAAGTTTACATATTTACCATATAACACTAAAAAACTAGTGTGGTTACTAAACGGTTGTGAAAATTAAATACTAAAATCATCCAAATTCAAACATTCAGAGTGGTAGTTATTTTATAGTTGGCAAAGTTATCTGAGAATCGTCTTACGAGTGCAAAGGGTTAATACTTTATGCATTTTCACTGTTACTAGTATTACAATTACGTAATCTATAACAGTACTGTTACAAATAGTTTATCAATTAACAGTAATTCTTAAGGAGGTAAATCTTTAAAAAAGTTAAAAATATTAACAAAAAATGGATACATTTCCATTTCACCGGAGCAAGTAAATTCAATTATTTGTTTGCAAATAAACTCAGTATTTTTTATTTGTTTTTTAAAAAGGAAATCATCAAGAAATAAAAATTGCACTTGGTATTTTTGCATTGGCAACTTTATTTCGCACGCCGGTGAAATAGAAAAATACCGAAAATGATAAAGTTATAATTAGTGAAATTTGAAACAATTTTAGAACTGCTTGATGGTCGTAATCATTTTGTATATAGTATGAACTTGAGAAAAACTGTAAATTTTAAATTAACACTTATACAGTGAAGTACGACCACTCTCTGCGTTAATGGTCAGTCAGTCGCTCTTGGGAATTACCTTCATTGACTTCAAAATATTATCGAAGGTGCGTGCTTTTTTGCAATTTTAATTTTTCTTAGTTTCATTTTCTTAGTGCGGAAATACCACTTGTGTTGGCGTCATGAAAACCGGATCAATGAACAAAATTTACCGTCAATAAAAATGACCTTTACTTATGTGTGAAAACAAATATATGAATTATGAATATGTTGTTGTTGTTGTAGTTCATTTACGTAGCACCAGAGCTGCACAATGGGCTATTGGCGACGGTCTGGGAAACATCCCTGAGGATGTTCCGAAGACATGCCATAACAATTTTGATCCTCTGCAGAGGGGATGGCACCCGCGCTTCGGTAGCCCGACGACCTGCACTCGAAGTCGAGCACTTTGCGGTAGAACAGTTTAACAAGGACCCATACCGCACAACCTCGGTCCCTACGCAGACTGATCCAAGTGGACACCCACCAGCACACTGACCGCAGCCAGTGATTCCTGACTTCTGTGATCTGCTGGGAACCGTGTCTTAACGATCAGTCCACTGCGGGACACGAATTATGAATAATAGAGCTATTTTAAATAAATAAGCAATTATGTTTTTTTGTTTAAATTTGCATTTAATATTATATCATAAAAATTAGTTAGCTTTAAAAAATGAGGTTTGTTTGCTTGAGATGCTTAGTTTTTTCGAAAAAAACTTTTTTTCTTTCGAATTTATTAACTTTCAACTCTAGAAATAAATTATTGATAGCATCGTCTTTGGTGCCCTCTGACTGCAACAAGAGGTTGTAGCTTTCGGAGATCGTAGAAAAAAGCTCTCTAAATTATTTTTTAATACATTTGACTCCACTTGTTTGTATTGTAAATATTCTTCCGTGATATTTTTTCTATCTCCTCCGTATTGACCGGTCACTTGGGGAGGTTTTGATGGTCTCCTCCTAAAGGTTTTCTTCAAGTCAAATGGAAAAAATTCCGTGCCTCTAAAAAATGTCANTGAAAATTTACGATTACGTATTTTTCTATTGGCTATTTTTTGCAGAGTTAACAGTTAATAATTAGTGGTGTCGACAGCCAGTTGTGATTAACTTTTGTGCAATTTTTTTATAGTAAAAAATACATTTTTTATTAGTGGTACACTAATAAAAAATCACTTTCGT